GAAGACTGGCCTTCGGAATGGTTTTATATAGAAGACGCTCCGCTGCCGGACCCTGTTCGGATCGGCCTCCCGGAGTTCAGCAATGCTCCTCTGAAGAAACGTCTTAGTTGGCATCCGCGGAGCCCCCAACTGGAGGAATACAAGAGCGTCCATTATTTGATGGGCCGAATAAGGTTACTGGCCCATGCCGGGTTGACCATGATTGGAGTCATGGCGACATGCATTATGCGGGGGGTGCAGCCACTACAATACAGGGGCCACCCCATGTGGGATTTCAACGGGGAGGACGATGCCACCCGTCATGGCCGCAAAGGGCCGGGTTCGGTCGAAGATCTGGTGACTATCCTGTCCGGCCTGTATAAGGGGGAGAAGGAGGATTTCCTTCGGACGAACCCGTTAAATGGGTTCTCCATGAATAATCCCCGGCCTTGGGTAAGCGAACACTCTGCGTGCCCGACCCATGCTTTTTTGAAACTTAAGTTTCTTATATTGTGTTCTTCTTTCGACGCAGGAGCTGCGCCGGATCGTGGAGGACATGCTAAGTCCAGCTCCGCAACCCGAGGATCCAGAGAGATCCCGGGATCCGGCCTCCGAAGAGGATCCGGACATAATGGTGGAGCTAATCGACGGGGTGTTCCACCAGCTCAGCATGGACAATGCTTTAGTCGCCATCACGGCCGACTATCCCGGACTATATCTGGCTTCCCAGGTGATTGCGACCGAAGTCCTGACACTGTCATTCCTTCCTTGCTTATTTCTGACCACCGTATACGATGGCACTGTGCAGGAGGCGCCCTTAGGGCGAGAAGCCAAGCCCGTGGTGGCTGGCCAACAAAGGCCAGTCTGGACCAGTAGGCGGAAGAGGAGCATGGCGCGGACTAAAACGTCGCCGCAAAGGTGTAGCTCACAATTCATTATTTAGAGCAACGTTCCTAGGAAGCGTTTGAGTGCTCATGACTTTTGTAGAGAAAAAAGCGTCCGCCGGACTGCGGGCGCGGAGGTTGCCAATCCAACCTCTACCAGCCAGGCTCCAGCACCTGGTCTGGAGGGGGAGGCGAGCGCAAGGCGCGAGCCGGACATTCCTCCGACGGAGGATGCCGACAGACTGTCCGCCACCAAGTCTGAGGTGGAGAGTGCCCTGAATCACAGGCGCCGCCGGACAGTATTTCGTGACGCGTGCTTCTCCCCCGAGGCGTTGAATGCCTTTAACGCGGGGGACGCGCACCTTCGTGCTGCTCAAGATGGTTTTACCAGAGCCACGGAGCAGTATGTAAAAGACATACGGGTAAGAGAATTTAATAGTTGTATATGCCAGTAGCCCCCGAGACTTAAAATAGTTATATTAACTGATTTAAGGATCATATAAAACGTAGGATCTTACCGAGAAGAATACCCAACTGTCTCAGGAGCTGCAAGAGTGCAAGGCCCAACTTGAGGCCGCACTCTCTGGCGCAGGAGGAAACACAGGGACCTCTCCTGGTAACGCATTATTTTAGAAAGATAAGTAGCGTTTGGCCTTTGCGCAAGTCTAAAAAAATGACGTTGCAGGTGCTGCCGGACAAGATCCGGACAGGCAAGAACTTCTGCGCCAACTAAAGACCGGCGAGAGGGTGCTGCATAAGGTGCAGCATGAAAGGAACAAGCTCCAGGATGCCCATGCCCAGCTTGGAGAAGAGCTGAAAGGCGTTCGGGCCGAGCTGTCGGGCTCCGTTAAGGAGAATCAGCGGCTTCGTCGCGGCATCTATAGTAAGTGCTTGAGTGAACTCCTTTGAAAAGAAGAGTTTGGCGAGGAAGTCAATTTGACAGAATATGTTTGCAGGTATGCTCACCGGTCGCCCTGCGGAGGAGATGCCCGTATCAACGGGTGATCAACTTCCCGAATTGTTGCAACTGATCGAACGAGTTCGGCAGGCAATGAGCGGTGTCATCCAGGCTTTATGGCCAGCCTTCTCCTTACCCGAGGGTCTTGGGGAGCTTGCGGAGAAGCTTCAGGGAGTGCGGCAGCGCTTCCATTTATGGAAGATTTCGGCCTGCCGCCAAGGTGCCAGGGAGGCCTGGGCCATGGTAAAGACGCGGTACAAGAAGGCGGATCCCAACCACATGGCCGAAGTCGGACCTGTGGGCCCGATGGGAAGGAGATCCCTATGAGTTTAGTATACGGCCAAGTAGAGCTGACCGCTAAATTTTCCCAACAGGACTGTAAATTAGACAACCTGTTAGACGGGATTGAGGAAGAATACAATCAGTCGATTTGACAATGTATTATAAAATGACATATAAAATGCCTTCTAGCCGGATTGTAGATCGTTTGTCTTTGCCGACCTTTTCGCTTCGACCTCGGGACCCTAGAGTCCGGAGTGTGTCCGAATACCTTCTCGGTTATGAAACAACCGGGGTATAATGAGTGCGGATAGCACATCAATTGCGCGCGAACGTTGCGCAAGTAGGCCCTTTAGCGTTTTTATTGAATAGGGTTGAGAAGAAAAAGATAAACAAAAGAAGCACCTCCTGGGTACCAGCAGCAGCTGTAGCACGAGCCAAAGAAGCATCAACAACAGGAACAGCAGCACCAGAAGTTTGGCCATCCTCAATAGGAACACGCTTCGCTCGTCCATACTGATTCGGAAGGAGGCGTTGTTGTTGTTGTTGTAGAGGTGCGATAGGTGCAGCCGGCGGTGGTGGTGGAAAACGCGCGAGCAATTCATTAAACTTGCTATCAAGCTTTGTTTCGAACGTCTTCTCAATGCCATCTATCTTCTCCATGGCCTCGTCAAATCTGTTTAGCACATCTTGCACCTGTCCACTCATCATTTGCTGAAATTTATCATGTAGCTGTTTGTTCGTCAGGTTCTCCCAATCAGTCTCATCGGCTTGTGATCCTACCATGGTTAGAAGCAAATAGAAACACACAAGAATATGATCCTACAGACTACTAAGAAGTGGTGGTGGTGTATCACAAACCCGTCAAGCAAATATCAAATTCTTACCAGTTCTTACCCAGCAGCAGGTGGTGATCGGCAACCGTTGTAGTCAAAACTCTCAAAGCTTGGATAGAGCGATTACCAGGGAGAGTCAAACGCACGACGTAGATGTATGTGGAGCTGGGAAGGCTTATAATATGGTAGCAAAAAAAGGATCAACAATAATCAATTCAGAGATGCAAAGTTGAATAAACGCTCAACGACGGTACTGTGCTGGTCCTAGGCTAGATTGTACTAGAGATGCGAGCCTAGAACACTAACAAAATCACGGCGCTGCACGTAAACAAGGGAAAAGCACACTCTGGTTTTTTTCGCTCTTTTTTTGCGCTGCTTTTTTTTGCGCTGTTTTTTTTGTGAAAAATTACTATAATGGCGAGTGTCTCAAAACTCTTCCCAGGTCAAACTGACAGGATGGGCACGAAATTTTTTTGACCAATTTTTTTTCGACTGCCCGGACCCAAAAACTGGAAACGGGTCAAAAAAAACTTTCTATAAGGGCGACTGTCTCAATACGCTTAGAAACACCTAAAAATAGGATAGCCAGAAATTTTTTCGACAAGTGCGTTTTCGGAAAATTTTGGGCCTAAACGGAGGGTGGTTTCCGGACTCTTTTTTTTTCCGAAACCTACTCTGGCAAGGAAACACAAATCGGAATCTAGATGGATCTCGAAAACAAACCTAATATGACAAGAACTCGGATTTGTGGTGGATATATGGTGGTAGATGACAGCGGTGGTGGTATATGACAACGGTGGTGGTATATGGATACGGATTCGAAGCGGTGGCGGATAAGCGGTGGTGGTAGATGCAGGGGCGATGATGATGGTGCGGCGGCGGCGTGACAATGACCAGAACTTGAAACTCTAAAAGACTAGACTCTAAGACCAGCAACTAGACACGACGATGCAACCGCAAATTCAACAAAGCAAAGCCCTAAAAAGATTATGCAAAGGCTCAGATTGATTGGATATGATGAACTAACCCTAATTTTTTTGGCTTTTTTCGTGGACTGTAGGTATGAAGAACAGACTCGATCTAAACTACGAAAAACTATAAAATCTCACCGAGCAACCTGGAAATCTGATACCACTTGATAGAGACAAAGGTGTCCCGTCTTTCGATGAGATGATGGATTTCGCTTTGGTGGAAGTCGACTTTGACGATCCGACTATGAACGTGCGAGGACGTCGCGCCTTAGCAATCGCTAAACCAACTCCGAGAGGTTATTGACCACGCCGGAGCACGATCAACCTGACCACAAGGGTCTGTTTCCTGCGAGCAAACGAAGAACAAGCAAGAAACTGAGATTGCAAATCTGGATATTGCGAATATAAGATGAAAGCTTTATTGATCAAGGTGGGGTTCTGTGACGCCTTTGTCTGGTTGTTGAACACAAACGAAGTACGCGAAGTTGCAGCTATGACAAACTTTTAATCTAAACAAAACCCCAAAGTCTAAACGGTGCCCTAAGGGCTGTATATATGGAGGAAGAGGGGGGAATTTCGTGGCCCTTGGTGGAGGGGTCCGAAATCAACCCTATCTCTTGTTTCCCCACACATACGGACTCTAAAAATAGCCTATACTTATGTATTTCGAAATTACAAGGGCCTGGCCCAATAATAAGGTGACGCAGCACCTAGAATAGCCTCGGGACGAAATTTATGAAGTGGCATCTTGTATATTTCGTCCAAGGCTTCATGCACCCATTATGGTGGCTTCAAAGTCCTGAAATCATCACTTGTAACTCCGTTCTTGTTCCCCTTGCGCATGGCATCATCTCCATGCTTGTTCTTGCTCCAATGTTCATCCTTCTCCAAGCTAGGCCCTTCATTTGTAAGCAAAACAAATGTATCCAATTTAGGCAGCATCATATTCTCATGAACATTAGAATCATTACCAAGAAATGAAAGTACCTGATAATTTAATTGGCGTGCGCGAGCTCTAGTAATTGGTCCCATATATGTAGCAGTAGGGGCTGTGGGTGTAACAATGGTATTGATGTCCTCATCAGATTGTCATCCAGGAGGAGAGCATGGAGTTCTTTGAGGAGCTTAATATTCACAGGGATGCTCCCGGCAAGCTCGTTGTGCGAGAGCTCAAGGGACACCAAGGTCCTCAAAGCCAAGAAGTCAAGAGACTCAAGTGTCCCTCTCAGCCGCATCCCCGGCAGGGAGATGGCGGCGATCACCGACCGGCCTCCACCACACCGGATGCCTTGCCAACGGCAAGGTGCTAAGATGTTTCTCCAGGATCGCAGGGCGTCTTGGCTTTGCTGACTGAGGCTGGCTTTCCAGGCAAGAAGTGCCCCTGCTTGTTGTTCGAGTGGTGGCAGCGCTCCAGCGGCTGAGACGAGTGCAGTGGTGCACATCATTAGTATGGTGAGAGAGTCAAGTATTTTGGAAGCCAAGGGCGCCATGGCGAGGATAGGAATTGATTCTGCTTCTGCGTCTGTTGGAGGGTTCACCTTAAATCATTGCACCAAATATTGCCGCTGCCTCGTACCCTGCAGGTAGTCTAATGGTTTGTATAACTGATTAACCACCCCTCCCTTTGTGTCCCTCTCGTTCCTTTATTAATCTTCATGATAGATTTGACCCGCTCTCTGATACATTTTTCTTTTCTTTTTTTGACATAGATTATGACGCCTGTTCTTTCAAAGTCAAAGTTACAGAACCCAAACATGTACGCACCTAGAAAAGGAAACCAGTAAGAAGGTGCCACAACACAAACTGCAGAAAGGACCTCAATAAAAGAAAGAAGATTACAAGCATGCCCCCTAGAGGACCTGGTGCAAAGAAGACCATCGGCACCGGAGAAGAGAGGGACATGACGCTGCTCACCCAGGTTCGTAGGAACACCATTGTGTAAATTGGGTTGGAAGCGTTGAACCCTTTGTCTCGGGCCGCATGTTTATATATAATGGCAAAGCCTTGGAGTACAAGAAGATCAGGAGATCGATCTCAGAAGGAGAGTCGATTCGGTACAGGAGGTTACCGAGGAGAGGAAGGAAAGAGAGATAGGGATAGATTACAATTTGAATGATATATCCTATACATATTCTAACACTCCCCCTCAATCTAAACCTCATGGACTTCGACCAAGGTTGAGATTGAACTTGAACTCATCTAACTTCCGCATTGTGAGAGGTTTTGTAAATCCATCAGCCAGTTGATCTCCAGTAGGAATGAACTGAATCTCGAGTAGCTTTCTAGCTACTCTTTCTCTGACAAAGTGGAAATCAACGTGCATGAAAAACAGGATTAGCTGACAGATAAGTTGCACCAATGTTATCACACCATAGTCTGGCAGCCCTTGGAGTCTCAATCCCAAGTTCATAAAGTAATGTTTGTATCCACATTACCTCAGCTGTGGCATTTGCCAAAGCTTTGTATCCAGCTTCAGTACTCGATCTAGAAACTGTAGCCTGCTTTCTTGCACTCCATGAAACAAGATTGGATCCCAGAAATATAGCAAATCCACCAGTTGACCTTCTATCATCAATACATCCTGCCCAGTATGCATTAGAGTAGGCGGTAACAAGCATAGAAGAAGACCTGGTAATTTGAAGTCCAAGTCCCTCTGAAAACTTAAGGTACCTCAGAATTCTCTTGACTGCAGTCCAATGAGTAGTACTAGGAGCATGCAAATACTGGCACACCTTGTTGACAGCATAAGAAATATCAGGACGTGTAAGTGTCAAATATTGCAAGACACCTACAACACTTCTGTAATTTGTTGCATCCTCTGAACGAAGTGGCTCTCCACTTTCAATAGACAGTTTTTCAGAAGTTGAGATAGGTGTACTCACAGGTTTACATTTTTCTAAACCTACTCTTCTGAGTATATCAGATGTGTATTTTTCCTGTGTCAAGAGTATACCATCTCTTATCTGTTTGACCTCAATCCCAAGAAAATAATGAAGATCTCTTAAGTCTTTGAGGGCAAACTCCAACTTAAGATCTTTAAGCAAGCAAGTGGTGGCACTTGAGCTCGAGCTAGCAACAATAATATCATCAACATAAACTAACACAAAAATACTGACATTTCCTTTATTGTAAAAGAACAAGGATGTGTCTGCCTTGGATGGTACAAATCCAAGTTGTTGTAGTTGCATGCTCAATCGAGAGTACCAAGCTCTTGGGGCTTGTTTTAAACCATATAGGGCTTTATCCAATTTACAAACATAATGTGGTGTACCTTTGTTTTCATAACCTGGTGGCTGCCGCATGAACACCTCTTCCTCAAGAACACCATGAAGAAACGCGTTCTGAACATCTAGCCGTCTTAAGCACCAACCTCTGGAAACAGCAATAGACAAGACAAGTCGAATGGTGGCTGATTTGACAACTGGACTAAAAGTATCCTCATAATCAATCCCAAACCTTTGCTTAAAGCCTTTGGCAACTAATCTGGCCTTGTACCTGTCTATACTTCCATCTGACTTTCTTTTTATCTTGTACACCCATTTACAATCAATGACATTCATTCCACTTTTTGATGGTACTAGGTGCCATGTTTTATTTTTCATAAGTGCATCATACTCACTATCCATAGCCTCCTTCCAATATTTGTGAGCAAGAGCATCAACAAGATTAACTGGTTCACTAGTAGTAGTGAGAAAAGCACGTTTTTTATCATACCTAATGGTACCATCCTTGTATTCTTTTGCCTTGATAATACCTGATTGTGACCGTGTATGACGTCGGGGAACAACTTGTGCAGCAGAGGAGGCAGCCACAGAAGATCCAGCGTCCTGGAGACGCTCAGTAGCCACGGGATCACACGCCAGATCTTCTGCAGGCGAGATCGGCCTCGGGATCGGTCCACCAGCAGAACCAGGCCGCGTGTCGCCTGAAGGTTCTTCGCGGGTGGGCGTGCGCATCGGGGCCCGTGGGCTGGGCCCAGTCGCGATCGCCCGGTCGGCCACCTCCGCGGGCTGCGGGCTCGTGGCGCGCGGAGATTCGCTCCCGGCCCTGCCTGAGCTGGTGGGCTCCACGCGGTCGCTGTCCGTTTCCAGGCGCGCCACCTCCGCATGCTGGGCAGGATCCACCTCGGATCGGGCGCCAATGATTGTGCTGGCGCTGGCGCTGGCGCCAGGATTCGCCTGGGATCGCGAGCCAGATCGCTTGTCACCTGAATCCTCCTCGCGATCAGCAACGGCTGCTTTGTCTATTTCTGGCCACATAAAATCATGAACTATATTTGTACAAATATCATTAGAGCTGCAATTTTCTGCAGATTTGTTCACATGGTCAGCATTAGATAATTCACCCCCGTGATCAGGTAAAGTGTCAAGATCCAGAAGAAGTGCTATTTCAGCACGGAGGAGGGCACCTGCGTTGGGATGAAGCTTGGCAAAAGGAAAAAGAGTTTCATCAAAAACTACATCTCGAGATATATATATACGTCCGGTAGAAATTTCTAGGCACTAGTATCCCTTGTGTAGGTTACTGTAGCCAAGAAAAACACATTGAGTCGAACGAAAATCAAGTTTGTGATGATTATACGGACGTAAGTTGGGGTAGCAAGAACACCCAAAAGTTTTTAGAGAGTTGTAGTCTGGTTTTTGATGATAGAGACGTTCCAAAGGTGTAGAATTGCCAATAACTTTACTTGGAAGACGATTAATAAGATATGTTGTTGTAATAAATGCTTCATCCCAATATTTTAGAGGCATGGATGCATGAGCAAGTAGAGAAAGGCCAACTTCAACAATGTGACGGTGTTTGCGCTCGGCAGAACCGTTTTGTTGATGAGCATGAGGACAAGACACATGGTGTTGAATGCCTATGCTACGAAAGAAAGAGTTGAGTTTTTCATACTCCCCTCCCCAGTCACTTTGGACTGTTAGAATTTTTCTGTTAAAGTGCCTTTCAACAAGTTTCTGAAATTCTTGGAAGATAGAGAAAACCTCAGATTTATACTTGAATAAATAAATCCAAGTGAACTTGCTATAGTCATCGATAAAACTAACATAATATTTATTTCTTCCAAAAGAATCTCTAGCATGACCCCATACATCACTAAAAATGAGCTCCAAGGGAGCATGAGACACACTGTTTGACTTGGGATAAGGAAGTTGGTGGCTCTTGGCACACTGACAAGCTTCACAGACTGACTCACTATTTTGACTATGTGACAAAGAAAGTTTGTCTTTATTGACTACTTGCTTGACTATGATTGATGATGGGTGACCTAATCTTTGATGCCACCTCTCCAAGGAGGGTTTAGTGGCAGAATAAACTTGACGATGATTGCGACTGAGTGCTCCGGATGTGATGGGGTAGAGCCCTCCAACGCATCTACCGTGATGAAGAAGTTCCCTCGTTGCCTGGTCCTTTATAAAAAAGTAACGAGGGTGAGTTTCAAAGAAGACGTTACTATCAGTGGCTAAGCGAGACATTGATGCAAGATTTTTATCAGCTTGTGGGACATGAAGAACGTCTTTAAGAACTAGATCACGTTTAATGTTGGGGGAATTAATATAAGCTTGTCCAATGTGACAAATATCCATACCTCCACCACTAGCCGCGGTGTGAATCTGGTCGCCTCCATGGTATCTCTCACAAAGTGCAAGCTGCTCTAGCTCGCTGGTGACGTGATCTGTTGCGCCTGAGTCCACGTACCAAACACCGTCTCCTCCTCCTTCTTCACGTATGGCTGCAGCAACATGACGAGAGTCGGGGACAAAATCCTCATCATATCTGTGCCAACAGTCCATGACCTCATGGCCTGACTTTTTTCACAGTTGGCAGCGAGGGCGGCGATTAGAGGAGGCACGGCGGCTGTTGTTGTTGTTGAAGCCGCCGCCTCCCGTGTTGTTGTTGAAGCCGCCACCTCCGGAGTAGTTTCCACCACCAGAATGAGCGCCATCGCCCTGGTAGTTGCCGCGGCCGCGTCCGCCGCCGTTGGTGTTGTGGTTCTGTCCCTGGTGACCGCGCCCACGGCCGCGCCCGCGAGCTGCTGAGTTGACGGAGGACTGCCTGATCTTGGTGCCGTGGAGGAGATTGAGGCGAGCGTCAAAGCTCAAGAGCTGGCTGTACAGCTCCTGAACCGAGACGAGCTCAACCCTAGCAGAGAGGGCGGACACAACTGGGTTGTAGTCCAGATCAAGACCCGCCATGATCTTGGAGACTATCTCTGGATCAGGTTGGGGGACTCCGGTGCAGCATGCAACTTCATCTGTAAGAGTTTTAATTTTTCCAAGATACTCTGCCATGGACATGTTACCTTTCTTCAAATTTGTGAGCTCGATGCGGGTCTTGATGGCCTGACTCTGGCTCTGGGCGGCGAACATGGCGTTGATGGCGCTCCAGACCTCCGCCGGAGTCTGAAGGGTGGAGACTTGGGCGAGAATCTCACGAGACAGAGATCCCATCAGATACCCCTGGAGTTGCTGCTGCTGCGTGTACCAGA